CCAAACCACCTCCGTACCCCCCCCCCCCCCCCCACCCAATCATGGTCTCCTCCCCCCCAACACCATGCAGCGCTACACGGACAACGAGGAGCTCTTCATTGGCGAGCTGTTCTACTCCACCATGGAGCTCCTGTCCAATGGCCTGAACCTCACCACACGTCAGATGTGCGAGCTCTATGACTCGGGAGCCCTGATGGACGAGATCGTGCAGCCCGGCAGGTGATGGGGCATGGGGAACTGCAGGTGAGGCCGCCATCCCCCCGCCTCACCGCTCCACCCGCCACCCCGCCCTGCTTTTTTCTCCCTGTCATGACCTTTCCCATCTGGCAGCCCCCCATTGGTGTCGCAACCACCCCGCACACAACCCCCATTTGAATCGTCCTCGTCCCCACCTCACCAGTGCTTCGTCCAAGCTGCCTCCCGGTCGGCGACGCCTGCTCCAAGATGACACCTTTGGCCTGGACCAGGTGAACAGCGACGACCCGGCCACCGGCGAGCACATCCTCCCGAACGTCAACTCCTTTAAGTGCCAGGGGCCCTTCCTCACCGGGAACTGCCCCGCGGGCCAGGTCCCTGCCATCTCAGCCACCACCCTGGTCCAGGCACGTGGGCTGGGGGTGAGGGTCTGCAGATTGGGCCGCAGGGGCGATGTGCGTACAGGAATGCAGGCACATGAATGCGAGCGGAGGCATGGAGGGGGGCGAATGGCGGAAATCATGCATCGAAAGCCCCCTCACATGCACAGCCACCCATCCACATCAGCCTTTGCCACGATGGGGGGCGCCCAGACGCACCTTGGCTGCCCCCTGCGCCGTCCACCGAACCCCTCCCCCAACGTACCCCCTATGACAAAACCACGCAGATCCACCTCTGGATCTTCCTCATTGCCATCTTCCACGTCGTCTGCGCCGTGATCATGCTCCTGCTGGCCGAGTGGCGGCTGCGGCAGTGGCGCGGCTGGCAGACAGGCGACCTGCTGCGCAGCGCAGCCCTGCGTCGCCAGCAGAGTCTGGCCTCCTTCCGGAGGGAGGTGGCGGGGCTGGGGGTGGCACATGCCGTCGCAGACACCCGTGTCGCCGATCAACCGCCCGCAGAGGGCGAGGCGGGGCTTGGTGGAGTCCCGACGGCCCGCCCCTCCTCCAGCTCCGCCAGCCAGGCCGGCTCTGAGAACGTGCTGGAGCTGCAGCTGGGGAATGGCACGCCCAGGGACAAGGGTTTGCGAACGGCAGCAGACGTCGAGGGGCAGCCTGTGGGCCCGCCGCTGTCGTCGTTCCGGCACGCCGACACGGCGCCGGGCACGGCGCCGGGCACAGCGCCGCCAGGCACTGCACCGAGTGCATCGCCATCGAGCACATCACCAGGCGCACCACCGCCGGGCGAACCGCGGCTGCGCCGCCAGTCGCTGGGTGAGACCTTGCAGCAGCTGATGCAGTCCAAGAAGCGGCAATGGAGGCGCAGGTCGGTGGCAGGGGGTTTCTAATGGCCTGGGGAGGGACGGGACGGAACATGGGGGTGAGTATCGCTGGTGATTGCAGGAGCTGGTAGAGTAAGAGGCAGGGGGGTGAGGGCCAGATGTGAGCATACGCTTGAAGAAATGAGGACGGTGGGTCTTTCTTGGTTTCCCGCTGTGGTGTGGCATCCGTGTCGGGTCTGGTGCACACGATGTGCAGCCTCCAGCCTGATTTGCTCCGTGCCCTGGGTTTGAGGCCGCAACCGTCCTGCCCCCTCCATTCCCGCTCTCCCCAGGGACACGGTGGTCAGAGGCCACACGTCCTGGCTCCTGGAGGTGGTCTACTGCTTCTTCCATGCCTTCTGGCCGAACATGGTCACTCACAAGGACTTTTTGCTCCTCAGGCACGTGTGCAAGAGGGGTGGGGATGCGTGCGGGTACCGATACCATGGCCCCTGCACTGGGCAGACTGGGCCTGCTGCGATGGTTGTCCCCCACATGACCTCGGAATGATCCCCCCCTCTGGTACTCAGAGCGTCATACATGAAGACATACGAAGTGATGCAGCCCTTTGACTTTGTCACCCTGTCCCAACGCTGCCTGGAGCTGGATGCCTCGCGCGTGGTGGGGATCAGCATCGAGATGTGGCTCATCGTCATAGTCTTCATCCTCGTCTCGGGGCTCATAGGTGAGAAGTCCTTGCGGTCTGGATAGGGGATTGGGGATTGGGGATGGAGGAGCGGGGTCGGGAGTGGCGACGTGGATGGTTTTCAATTGAGGTAGGCATGCGTGGCGGGGTCAGAGCAGCTGAGTCGAAAGCGCATCAGGCTGCCCGGGTTGTTACCAATTCAAGTGGCGTGGATGTGCCTGGCATCGGCTTGCCCGACTCCCCACCCTCTTCAGCATCAAGAGGCGTTGCCCTGCACCAGCGGCGATGCCCAGCCTCGGCCTCTTCGTGCCTGGACCCCATGATGCACGCAATAGACACCCATTCCTCATCCATCCCTCCTCGCCCTTTCCGCATACCCCGCCAGGCTGGCTGGGGTCGCTGTACATCATCCTGGCCGCCGCCTTGACGCTGGCCGTGAACGTGAGTCTGGTGGCGGCGGTGCGCCATCGCTGCCGCGGCGGACGGGCCAACGTGATGGGGCGGCGCCGGCGCTGGTTCCGCGGCCCGGGCCTGCTCACCGCCGCCATTCGCATGGTGATCTTCCTCTGCTCCCTCGTCTTCTCGACCACCGTCTTCTTCGCCTGGCAGTTTGGCCACTCCGGCTGCTTCTTCACCGACGAGGTCGACCTCTTCGGCTTCGGCTCGGTGGTGCCCTGGTGGGTCTCCCTCGTCGTCGCCTTCTTCCTCCTGGCCTGGGTCAGCATGGTCACCCTGCCGGTCTACTCCATGGTGCTCAACGCCGCGCCAGAGGACAGCCTGCTGGGGGCCGAGCTGCCCTTCCTAAAGGCGTGTGAGGGCTTGTGGTTGGGAGGGAGTGGAGAAAGGCCCTCTATTTCGGTGTTGGAGGAGGTTTCTGCAGACAAGTGGGGATGCAGGCCTGTGCAGGCCTCCGTCCTCGGCCACCCCTCCCCCTTGCACCACACATCTTGACCTTGCATGAAAGTCCACCGGCCTCCCATCCCCGCATTACTTCAACCCTTCCCCTCCCTTGCTCCGCTCAATCTCACATTCAGCACCCCCACCTCCCCTCAACCCCACCACCGCTAAAAACAGCCGGAGTCCACGCTGCCGGGGGCGCCCCCCCGCAGCGCTTCACTGACGGCGGCGCAGTTGGAGGGCGAGCGGCAGGCGCGGCGCGAGGCCGAGTCGGCGCTGGAGGAGGAAAGGGCGGTGTTCGCGCGGGAGCTGGCGCAGCTGGGCCGGGCGCTGGAGGCGGAGCGCAGCGGCCGCAGCCCCCCCGCCAGCCCCGCCGCGGCCGGGCCGCCGGCCGCCTGATGTTTTTGATGGTCCTTGCCACGCGGACCCCCCTCGAGCGCCATGCATCGATCGTGTTGATCTCCCCTCCCACCTCCGAAAGCTTGCAGGACGATGCACCCATGTGTCATATATTTGTATTTCTGTCAAACCAGGGCGTATGCCGGGGGTCCCCTTGCGGGGACGAGGAAGCTGGGGCTCTTCTCAGCGCGGCGCCTGCTGGCGCGCCAGCTGCTGGCGCTCTCGCTCCAGGGTGGTCATCAGCTCGTCGCACATGGCCACCAGCGCGCTCTTCTCCCTCTCCTTGGCCCCCAGCGACGCCTCCAGCTCGCCGATGATGGCCTTGTACCGCGCCTTCATCCCCGCGGCCTTGGCGTTCTCGGCGCGGTACTCCCCCAGGCTGGCCTCCAGCCCCTCCAGCCGCACCCGCAGGCCCACCACCTCGTCCTCCCGACGCGCGTTCTCCGCGCTGGCGCGGTCCCTGGCCGCGCGGGCAAGCGCCGCCTGGTGCAGCGCCGCCTCCTGCCGCTCCCGCGCCCCGGCCAGCTCGGAGGTGCTGCGGTCCAGAGCAGCCCGGACCTGATTGCTCGGGGTGGAGGGGCAGGGCTTGATCAGAGGGCTCCGTCCAAGCACGTAAATCCTTTGGCACACACATGACCTCGAGCCCACAGGCATCACCATCGTGCCGCAAGTCAACCAGGCGTGTCGGCCTCTGCCGCCTGAGCCCCACCTTGCCCAGCTCGGCGTCGTGCTGGGTGTCACGCAGCTGCAGCTGCAAGGCAGCTGCCGCCCGTTCGTTTGCCAGCTCAGCCTGGCAAGGGGGAGAGGAGGGCGGGCTGGGAGTTTGTGCGCAGGATGCCGCAAAGCCATGGTCAAGGCCCGAACTCCCGCGCAGGGCCGGCTGCACGCTTGCAACGCCCCCCAAAAGGTGAATGCAAGGAGCGAGCCAGAGCCAGGGAAAACTGACTGCAAACGGCACCACACTGGCTCGCACCTGGTGGGAGACCTGCAGGGCCTGCAGCTCCTGCTGCGTGGCGGCCGCCGTGCTCTGGGCGCTTGCCAACTGCCCGTGGGATGGAGGAGTGTGGTGAGTACAGACGTGCATCGATGACAGGAACGCCTCCGCATCCACTCAGAACGGCCCTCAGGGGATCGGCCCAGCCAGCCGCTGGCCCTGGGACGCCTGAATCCAGCCCTGCATCAGCACATCGTGCCCTCTAGCCCCCCTTGCCCACCTGCCGCTCGAGGGTCAGGATCCGCTCCTCTGCTGCCCTGGCTCCCTCGCTGCATCGGGCCTCCAGCTCTCGATTCTGCAGGCACGTGGCTCGGGAAACGCATCAGCCGCAGCGCTGAACCCAAAGTGCAACCCATGGAAGGCCCAGCTTTCGTCCCCGTGCACCCTGCGAACCTACTTCCAGCAGGCACATCCCCCACCTCGGCCGTCAGGCAGCGCAGCTGAGCCTGGCAGGCCACTAGCGCAGCGGAGTGGCGGTCCTCCAGCTCCGCCACCGTCTGCTGGTAGGAAGAGAGCAGCGTCCCGGCCTCCAGGCCCCACCGCTCAAGACGGGCCACCTGTGGGTGAGGTTGACGAGCGTGGGCGTGCGCATGAGGGCAGCGGAGGGCAGGCTGGGCGCGGCCACGCCGCCCCCGAGCGAACATCGACTCGAGGGGGGTCGGCAGCCTTGCACAGCCAGCCTCGGCACAGTGCAACTTGCCTGGTCATGCAGGGCCGCGACCTCGGCGTCAACTAGGTCAGGGGTCGGGGAGGCTGCGGGCCTGGGCACGGCCTGGGGTTCTCGGGAGCCGCCGCTGGCCGCCAGCTGGCCGGTTGTCCCAGGGTCCGCCCCGGTTGGCGAGGGGCTGGTCCCGCCCTGCCTGGCTCCGCTCGCATCGTAGCTGAACACATGTGGCAACAGAATTTGTGGGATTGCCACCGTGGAGTTTTGCAGGCATGCCAGCGGGTGCACCGCAAGAACAGAGAGGGAAGCTGAACCCTGAGACCGGTTCCCGGCAGATTTGCGACGCCACTGATTGGGAAAGCAGCAAAGCGCACAACAGCACCACGTCAGCAGGATCCGACACCGCCGCCAAACTCTGCTCCCCACCCACCTCTCCATGTCCAGCAAGGTCCCGGAGGCGACCAGGGAATAGCGGGCCGGCCGATCGAGCGGCCGGCGGGCCAGGGTGGCAGGGGTGGCTGCCTCCAGGGCCTGCAGGGGTTGTCGGGTTGGGCTGCTGCAATGAGCCTGGCATGCTGCCTGAGGAAGGGAATGGAGGTCGCCTACCCGGTACCATACTGTGATGGCACCCTCCCGCCCCGTGCCTGCACGCACGGTCACAGCACATCCTCTCCAAAACAATCGCCACAAGTTCTTCCTTGCCTGCAGCATGCGGGCGACCTCGGCCGTGAACTGGAGGGTCGGGGTCGGCGGAGGGGGGTCAGCCCCGTCTTGCATCCCAACTCCACTGGTCAGTGCACCGGCACTCGGGATGGAGCCCCCATCCACCTCCGGCCTCTGCACCATGGAAGCTGCGCTGGCGGGCGTAGCAGCTGCACCCGCTGCACTTGCGAGCAGAGGCGTCGCGGCGCCGCCGCGTGTCACCCAATCCTGCGGGGAGGGGCCGCAATTGGCGTTCCATGTCAAGGTCGCGGGGGAAATCCTGCCGTCGCCGGAGGTCACGGATCCGGAGCGGGCGCTGGAGCCACGATGCACGCTGGAGGCCACCGCCGCCAGCTCAGCGGCCAGGTGGAACCCTGCCGAGGCCGGCGTGCCGGCATCCGCGCCGCCGCCAGGGTGCCCGGGGGTGCCGCCCGCTGGAGTGGCAAGGGCGGTGGGGGTGGCTGCCCCCGGCATACAGGCCACCATGGCGCCGCATTGCCCGGCCGCGGCTGGTGTGGGCATGTGGGTGTGGGAGGGAGCGGCGGGCACCGCCAGGCGGTCATGTGTCGCTTGGGAAGTCGAGCCCTGGGACGCTGGCGTGGCGGAGGAGGCGGCCTGCTGCCCGGGGATCGCTGAGTCGGAGGTTGTTCCGGCCGCCTGGCATGCTGGGGAGGGAGGATGAAACTCGGCCTCGCCCACACCCTCTGGCGCCCTGTTGTCTGCGGCGGGCATAGTCTCGGTGTCAGGCTCGGTTGGCGGGGGTGGGAGGAGCGAGGGCGAATCCATGGCATGGCCGCTGGCCTCCACATCCGGCAGCTCCGTGCCTGCATCTGGAGGTGCGAAGGACCTGATCTGAGGGCACTGAGGGAGTCCATCGTGCTCAGTCCACCGTTCAATGGGCTTTGCAGCATAATTTGCATGTCGAAACCGCCCCCACGCACCATGGCTCATGGCAACAGGCTTCAGCGTTCCAGCGTCTTCCACGATGGCCTGGGCACTAGAGGCTCGAAAGCCAGCTGATTCCGGAGGCTGCGCTGCTCCTGCATCCACAGCCGGCATCCCCAGCTCATGGTACGACCCTGGTTCCACGCCTAGGGCTGGGGGTGCATGCATCGCACCCGCCTGGCTCCCTCCGGCTCCTGTTTGAAGCCCGTCTGCGCTGGGCCCGGCCCCAGGAGGGTCGAGGGATGGACCCGACAGGGCAGACACAGGCTGGGGCCGAGGCGCCAGCTGTCCTGACACCGGCACGACAGGGGCCTCCACCATAGCGCTCCCTGCCTGAGCAGCGGCACCAAAGCCCGGCTCGCCGATGCGCCCTGCAGGCACCTCCTCCGGGAACGCGGCAGGCAAGCCACGCCCTGCTCCCGCACGCATCGCCGGGCCGGTTCCGCCGGACCAGGGCAGAGTGGTGACGAACTCAGCGCTGCGCCGCAGGGCGGCCGGGCGGTCGCCTGGCTGCGGCGGCGCCGCACCTCCCCCCCTTTCCCTTGAGAAGCGGCTGGGCAGATGGCTGGCGGAGGGCGCAGAGGCGCGGCGCGCCGGGCGGGGACCCGGCGCCGCGCCCTCGGCCCCGACAGGCGGTCCGTCGCTGGCGGGCGGGGCGGGGGCGGGGGATGCAAACAGGCGCACGACCACCTGGGGGCTGTCCGGTGGCGGGGGGGTCCGGTGCAGGGAGGGAGGAGGAGGGGAGGGAGGACGGGAGGGGGGGGAGGGGGGGGCGTAGGGACCGGCGCGGGTCGGACTGGCGTGGGGCCTCCTGGCCGGTGGGCGCATCATGGGCCCAACCAGGTCCTGCCCCTGTCGATGCGCTGAGCGAGGTGGGGCTCTCTTCCGGCCCCACCTCCCCAGAGCCTGGGGCGTCTGGGGAACTGTTGGCCGCTATTTCACTCCGGTCTTGCGCCTCAGACCTGGTAGGCGCCATTCCTGCCGGCCCCTGGCCTGCTGGGCTGCGCTCCAGAGATTGCCTAGCTTGCGCCCCGCTTTCCACCTGATCCACCACGCCGTACTGCAGGGCCGTCTCTGCTGCCTCGCTGGCGAGGCTGGGTGGGGAGGAGTGGCGGGCGGAGGCCTGGCCGGACAGACAGGCGTCGACGGGTGGGCTCAATCGGCGAGCGCTGGGGATTGGGTCGGGCTGACAGGTACTGGGCGATGGGGTGGAGGAGCCGGCGCCAGGAGACGCGTCGGGAGGGGAGTGGGTGTCGGGGATTGGGTCAAGAGTGCCACTCTCGGTGGCCGGGCCAGCCGTCTCGACAATGCCAGAAGCTTCTGGGCAAGCAGGGGCGCGAAGACTCTTCCCAGGCTGTTCACCGGTCTCTGTGTCACCGCAGGCGCCATGGCTCAGATCGGGTGTCTGCCGCCTCTTCCCTGGCGTGAGGGCCTTGAAGATGATGGAGGGGAAGCGAGCGGCCTGCGGTATTAGGACGTGGTCGGCATGTCAGGGTGCAGAATCGAGACCTGCCCGCACATCATGTATGTATGGCAAGTCATACCATTTGGCATTGGAGAACGGAAGGGATCAGATGCATGGTTATGGACTATAGATGCTTCCATGATACCTCGGTATCATTATGGTATCCGGGTATCACATACCCTCCAACCCCTCCCACCAGGCATCTCCACCACAGCAAAACACAGAATACCCCCGTCTCCCCATCGTGCCTGGGCTCGGAGGGACTGCCTGCGCTGGGCACCTGGCGTCATCTCGGTGGCCTTGCTGGCGGATTGCTCCGCCGGCAGGTCCTCCTGCAGGACTGGCATGGAGGGGGCGCCCTTCCTATTGGCGCCGATGCCCGTGCCACTCAGAGCACCTCGTCGCACTGCAGGGGCCATCTTGTTCTCGAAGACATCGATCTTCGTCCTGATTCCCCGGAGCTGGGCCAGGCTCGGGCGTCCCACGGGAGCAGGGGCCGGGATCTCGCTCAGCGTCTTGAGGAATTGGTCTGATGGTGAGGGGAGGTTCGGCCAGATCATCGATAGTCAAGGCGGGGTTTGAGCTGCGCATCAGGATACCCCTCAAGCTTTGGATTATACCTGCTGGAAGGAAATCATCCTCTTCGGAAGCTATAGTGGGCATCGAGGTGGGCAGGGCTCGCCCCGGAGTTCCAGGTGCGCGATACGGAATCCGAGTTGCGGAGGATTTATTCGGCCGAGAGCCCTATCAAGAGCTCGCTGCTTCAGGCTTAGCCGGCAAGACTCCACGGGTCTATCATTCTAGGCATACTTCACTCGGGCGTATCGCGTTGCGATGCGCAAGTGTGCCTGCCAACAGCTGACTCCACTTCGAAATTCAGGCGCGGAATGCGCCCTCCCTGCTGTGGCCCCCTGAGTTGGTCCATGCTGCGGCCGGTTGCGCACTATATTGTCGGAACGCGGTGGAGGCCATGTCAAGCAGTGCAAGGAGTTTAGAGTGGGCACATGTGTGCCTATAGGGCACATGGGGTTCGAGGGGTACAGTATGTGGACTTTGTGAGTTGCAGGCGGCGTGAGCCTACCGCGCCGCCGCCTGGCTCAGCACGCTCAGCGCGCTGGAGCGCCACCTCGTCGACTCCCGCCCCGCCATGTGCGCAACGCTTGCGTCCGGGTGCTTGCGCAGCGCGGTCACCGCCCGCGACAGGTCTGTGCTGTCCAGCGCGGCCAGGTCGACGTCGCAGTGGGACAGCTCGGACAGGATGGGCAGCGCCGTGGTCGCGTGCAGAGGAGGGGTGCCTGGAAGGGTGGGGTGTGAGTGGGGAGGGGGGTGCAGGGGTGGGCGGGTTGGCGGTTGGGCGGCAGCAGGAGCGCTGGGCGTGTGTGCCCGTCCTCTGTCGAGGCAGGCGTGGGAGGGTGACGCCTGCCAAAGCCCTGGCCCATCGCCCGGGGCCCAGCCACCGTCAGCGCCTGCCTTCCCCCACGGGCACCTGGGAGGGGGGGGCTCAGGACCTGCGCCCAGTGCATGAGTTGATGCGGAGAGATGAGGGAGCCTGAGCCTGGCTTGTGCTCCTCAAACTGGGGCTGTGTGGCATGGAGAGGGAGAGGGATCAAAAGGGGGTGCAGACAAGGCGCCGCCGCCATGCATCGACATCATCGAGCAGCATTCAGAGTTTGTTAAAGATGCTGCCCTTGAAGGACCATGGTGTGTGTCAGCCAGTCCATGAAACGCCCCATCCCAGCCACCTGCACACCTGTGGCGGCCTGGCGAGAAGGTGCATGTGCTGCTGCTGCTGCTGCTGCGCCTGCTGTGCCGGCGTGTGGAAGTGGCCCACGAGGGCTGGGGTGTTCGGGGGCAGGCCGGCCGCCGGCTGCAGCGTTAGGCACCCGCTTAGCGCCGGGTCCTGGAGGCAGGCCATGCCCAGGTCGTCCCCGGTGTTGATAAGGGTGACGGGGGAGAGGGAGGGGAAGGCGAGGTCGTCCAGGCCTTCCAGGTCGGCGCCGTGGAAGGCTGCGGGTAGGCGCGGGCGCACCTTGCCGCCCACCGCCGCCGCATGGGGCCCGGGCCCGGGCAGGAAGGCCTGCGGCACGTATGCGTAGCAGGGCGGCGAGGGGAGGTGCAGGTAGCTGCCGCCGCAGCCGGGACCCGCGGCCACGTCGTCACCTGCAGGGCAGAGAGGGGGGAAGAAGTTAGGTAGGGGGGGGGGGGGGAGGGAGGTGGGCGTGGAGGGAGGGTGGTGCGAGGCAGTGCAGGCACAGGGCGTGAGGACCAGGCCGAGAAGGGTGGGCCCACTTGCTTCACCACCACCGCCGACCCCGCTCATACCATGCGAGAGGTGGGACTCCAGCCAAGCCACCAGGCTCGCGCGGGAGGGGAAGAGGGCCCCGCCAAACGCTGGCTCCGCCCTGAACACCGAGTTCCTGTGTGGCGTGGAAGGAAAGCAAGGCGTGGTGGGTGTGAACTGCCCTGAGAGATGTGGAGCAAGGCGCGAGCCTGGTCCTACCCGGAGGGTCCTTCCTTCGGCTCGAGATCCTGCAATCCCTCCCTGTGCCGCGAAGGCCCTCCCTGCCCAGGCTCCACGACCATTGGTCGCGTGTCCTACCCGTTGGTACTGGTGGCTGCCAGCGCCTGACCGCCGTAGGCGTTGACGAGGAAGAAACGGCGGCTGAGGTGCCCGCCCAGGTGAACGGCCTCCTCCCTGGGAGGGGGGCCATGGTGATGGAGTTGCTGGCACAGGTTGAAGCACTGTCGAACACGGCATGTCCGTGCTTTGCAACCACACAGCTCAGAACGACAGGGGCGGGATTGACCACTCTTGCCTCCCCATCTCACACAGCATCTACAACCTCCATCCCTCGCCCTCCCTCACCCTCCGTGCACTCACCTCACGTCGACCCAGGCGCAGCCCACGGTGCGTGCTCCCTCTGCGAGGTGCAGGAGGGCTGCGGGGGACAGGCTTGGGAGGATGCAGGTCCCCTCTTGAACCTGGTTATGGATGCCCAGCTGGCCCAGCCAGTTCAACACCCTGGCCCTATTGGTGCAGGTCAGGGGTGGGCCGGGGAAGTCAGGGGCCTTGGTGTATGTGTAGTGACCGCTGGATCGTGCGTCCGTACCCTGGGTGGGGTGGGGGCATTGGGGGTTGCCATGACAGGGTGTGAGGGATCCGAGGGTGAATGCATCCCGTCTCAGCACCGCTTGGCACAGACGTTTGAGATATCCATGAGTCTTCCCAAGCCAATCTGTGGCCATCAGACACCAAAACTCCCCCAAGTTCACCCCAGGAAGGGAGCAACGATTACCATCACAGGACGGCTCACCACAACGGCCAGGGTGCTGACGTGGCGGGCATCCTGCACCCAGACCAGCATGTATTGGGTGCGGACGTGGCAGACCTTCTGCAAGCAGAACGACACGTACTGGCCGGGGGAGCTGGGGGAAGCCCCGCTGGGGGGGACCTCCGGGGCATGGGCACTGATGAAAAAGTTGTTTCTGCGGATTCGAAGGTCGTGGGGTTGAGTGCCTCGGATGGCGGGATCGGGATGGCGAGGGAGGAGGACCGGCTGCGCGAGATGTCACACTATCCTTCAAGTCCCCACAAATCAGCATAAACACATGCACCAAGAGGTCTACGTGCACATTAAAATCTAGAAAGACCCTCGGGTGCTCACCCGCGAGACGTCTCCGAGTCGCTGTTGGTGGGGGAGTAGCTCGGCCGCGCAAACTTGTGGTGGCGCCCGTCCGACCAACCACTCCTCTCCTTGTCCTTCACCTCCGGCCGCCTGGTGCCCAGTTCCTCCCCGGGGCGGAGGTCTGGTCTTCCAGCCTTGGCCCAGCGCTGCCCACACCTGCGAGTGTTGGGGTGGGGACGTGAACATCTAGGCATGAATGCTGATGGGAATTCCTCGGAGAGGGGCGGCTTGGGGCGGCATGAGCGGGGAGCGAGATCGGCGAGCCAACCCCTTTTTTGCTTCGGCAGCCAAGAGGGATAATGATCAGGACGCACCTGTTGCACAAGTTGGCCCATGCATCGCCTCCGATGCCCAAGGCCCAGCCTTTGCGCCAGGAGCCTGACGTGGAGGTTGCGCTGCAGGTGGCGCAGGCGACCCCCGATGCCGCACCGCCGACGTAGATCTGGGCAGGATCGATTGCATCCATGGAGCAGAACTGTTACGATCGTGGGGATTCAGGCGAAGCGGAAGACCGACTCGTCGAGACGGTGTTGGGCCCACGGGTGCAGTATCGAACTTGCGACCGTCGGGTCCCAGGCAAAGCGTTGGGGCTCCGCCCTGGCCGTCCGGTGCCTGCGCGCATCTTCATGGCGCGCCGGATGGAGATCACCGCCAAGTACAAAATTCGTGAAGGAAAGAGACAAAAATTTTGACGCTGAGGAGTTTGTGGCCCGTATATTACAACAGTGCCTGACGGACCAGTCCGGAAGTATACTGCTCAAGACGGACGCAGCGCCACGGCGCGTAGCAGCGTCTCCATGGTATCTTCGCATGACAGTGATGGTCTGCGTGTATTCACCAACCATCAGCCGTTGACAATGGTGCCGCCGTTGGGGTGCAGCACCTGACCAGACATGTAAGAGGAGTCCTGCAAAGGGGAAACAGGTGGCACAGTCAGCACGCAGCCGCATGGGAGGGCTGGACACGACTCCTCCCCACCCCCACCGGCGCACATGTGACGCCAAGTAGACATATGCAGGCCCCATCTCGGAGGGCTGGTAGGGAGAGGATGAAGGGTTTGAAGAGGATGATGCATCAGCATGCTGGATTTGGTGACAGGTAACGTCACGAGGTTCCTGAGAAACCTCACAGAGTAGTGGACACCCAGAGCAGAGCCCTTGCGCACGTTCCCACCTGACCCAGGCGTCCCAGCGCAGGGATCTTGTTGTACCAGCCATCGAGGTTGTCTTGCTCGCGGGTGGCAGGGTTTAGCGGCGTGATGATCTGCCATGCGTGAGATGGGGGGGCAGTTAAAAGTGAATATTTCCGCTGGTGAGTTCTTCGGAAAGCAGGTGTGCCAGGAGCCAGACACTATGTGCTCCTTCACCTCCCCCGCCTTCACAGCCAGCGCCCTGGCGCACACCACCCCAGGCAGCGTGGCTCTCACCGGCCCAGGTGCGACGGCGTTCACGCGGATACCCTTGGGAGCCAGCTGGAGGGAGAGGGAGCGGGTGAATGCCACGATGGCTCCCTTGGTGGAGCTGCATGGGATTGGGTGGCGGGAATGCCTCGGTGGGTGAGAGGGAGAGGGGGCTCCAGAGGTCCTCTGCCATCCCCCCCGAGCTGTCAAACCCCTGGATGCCGACCTGTACTCCAGCAGGGAGGCACTGCCATAGTAGGCAGTGACAGAGGTCGAGTTCACAATGGTCGACCCCCTTGCCATGTGGGGCAGGACATGCCTGTTGTGGGCGGGAAGAGTGGGGGAGGTCCAAGGTGGGAAAGTGGTGGAAGGCGGCAAAGCCTCCTCCCGGCCGCACTGCACAAAGTGGCAAGTAATGCACCCCCCACGATCTCTTCCCCTTGTACAAGCCCAGAGCTAGACTCACTTTGCGAGGTAAAACATAGCAAAGACGTTGGTCCTGGAGCAGCAGCGAAGGGAGCTTTGAGCAGAGGATACTGTGCATGGCCAGGGCAGGTGCTCGAGGACTCGTCTCCCGGGGAACCCCCAACACCCTCCAGAATGACAGAAGGAAGAGCGAGACCCAGAGGGACTAGCACGTGGTCCCGACCACCTCCAACAAGCCACCCCCGAACCCACTTGAAGGTGGATTCCAGGTATTCGGCGTCGGTGTCCTCGATGGAGGACAGCTTGTGCTGCATGGAAGCGTTGTTAACCAGCACGTCCACCCGGCCGAAGCGGTCCACCACCTTCTGCACCACAGACCTGGCTGCCTCCTCCCCGGTTGACAGGTCCTGGGCGATGAGCAGGGCTTCCACCCCCTCGGCCTCGATCAGCTCCTTGGTCTGCTCCGCATCCTGTGGTGAGAGGGGATGACGGCATGAGGCGCGCTGGTGGGCTGCTCCATGAACGCCGCGCTTGCCTCCAGGCAAGGCAGGCACATGCACCTTCAGGGGTAAGCATGTGGCCGTGACGGCTGGCACCCCCGTGCTCCCATCCCAGAACCAGGCCAGCAGCTCCTCAGCACCTCCTGTTCCTTCTCCAGGTAGACTATGGTGACGGACTTGGCAGACTCCCTGGCAAACATGGCCGCGATGCTGCGTCCGATGCCCGAATCGCCGCCGGTGACGATGCAGACCTGGGGGTGTCGCACGTCGAAAGGATGTTGGGCGCTGGGCGCATACTTCACCATGCTGGTTGGAAGCTCAGCCTCCAACGTCGCCAGCTCACCTTGTCCTTCAGCTTCTCGGCACCCTTGTATGGCCGGAAGCTCAGGACGTCGTCATTGCCAGGCTGGTAGGGCAGGTCTGTGGAGTGGGGTTGGTCCTGCACATCGGTGGCAGGCATGGCCATGTGAGCGTGGATCTGGCGGGGTCCTGCTATTCCACATTCATGAGCACAAAGCCTTTCGAACCTACCTTCATGCCTTTCTGGAGTCCTGGCTGGTTGTGGGAATCCTGCACGTGGAGGGAGTGGTGGCGGCACGTGGGCCCGTTGATCGACCGACAGTCCGGGGGCGGTCATCGAGCGCAAGGCCACCGCGAGCAATGGCATGCGGGAGCGCACAGACGGTAATGCCACACCTGGGCCGAATCCTTGATCTCGGGACCCACTGGAAACCCCTTGGTCGCCATGCCCTCGGGCTTCTTGCTGTTATCTCCACTCATGGCGCGTGTGACCGTTCGGTGATGGCGAGATGAGCAGGGGCGGGATCTCAATGGCACCTGCAGACAAGTGCGGGCTGTGACTCCAAACAGGTATCTGGACATGGCTCTTCCACGTTTACCTGGCCATCTGGCGATGTGCCTTGGGATCTCGCCGGCCTCTTGGCCTGACGCCGGGGCGGACAGCTTCCGTCCCATTCCCTGCCTGTTCTTCGTACCTTCCCCCCACTCTCGAAGCCTGCTCCCGGCACGCATCTTGTCAAGCGTGATAGATTAATGCTGAATATGAGGGGGTTGTGGGGTTGCAATGGAATCGCGGGCGTAGCGCAGGGCAAGGCGCTACTCCTCTGTGGCCAGCTTCTTCCAGCCGGTCCAGCCGGGCCTCAGGACGGCCGCCTTCCCCGCCAGGGACACCGTCGCCTGCCAACCGGGCCCCGCCCATCTCCTGAGCGCCAGCCACAGGGCGGCGATGTCGATGAGGACCTGGATGGCCAGCATGCCCTGGGCCGCCATGGCCGAGGTCTGGCTGGTCGAGCTCGCGGCGACCTCCCTGATGCGGCTGGGCATGGGGTTGTTCCCCCCATTGCACTGCTTTGTCTGGAAGTCCGCCCAGAACTGGGCCTCGGGGATGCTGCTCCACACGTGGAGCTCCTGCTTGTCCTTGATGCCGGCGGCATGGCGCGCCGCCCACGTCACGCCAAAGCGCCGCATGGTCTCCCTCTCCTCGTCCCAGGTGCTCCTGCTCATCGCGTGGGCATTGGGGGGATGAGAGTGGAGGTGTGGTGATGGTGCGGGGGCACGGCGGGAAGGAAAGGCTGTGGGGTGGCAGTGGCTGGAAGCACACGGGTGCGGGAGGGAGGAGGGGAGTGGGGCGCTCCCCGTTCCCAGCAGGCAACGAGCATGGTTGGAGCTCTGAGCAAGAGACCCCTGCCTGGGAGGCTGCCAGGGGCGGGCGAGCAGCCGGCGATGCGCGGCTAGGGCCGCCGGGTACGACCACGTCTGCCCCTTCACTCCTCCCTGCCCTGCCCTGCCGACACCGAGCCATGGCACGCACCAGCCACGGGGGTGGGGGTTGTTGTACACCCGCCTCCTGTTGGGGGCTTGGTAGGCGGGGTGGAACATGCAGACGGCGTCGATCACCGCCACTCGGTCCTTGGGGTAGCCGAGCATCCTGGGCCAGGCAGAGTCCAGGCCTGAAGAAAGCGTGGAGGGTTGGGGGAGAAGGGAGGGATCGAGGGCAGCCTGGACGGGAAAGGGAGTCGGCGCGGAGGGCGGACATGGCCGTCATCGCCCCCTCCCCACCCCCTCCTCCCCAGTACATGCACCCACCGTAGCCGGTGTAGCTGTCATTCAGGTTGGGCATGATGAGCTCGTCCATGACCTTGGCGGAGAACATGGGGGCCATGATCTCCACAAACGCGGTGTAGCGCAGGCCCGACCCGGGCTCACGCAGCATCAGTCGCTGCATGGTGGTGCTGTCACGGTGCTGGCACACCGCCGGCTGCCCGAGCTGCAGGTTGAAGTGCAGGAAGGCCTGGAACGCCGTAGTTTATCACTGTGCGGGGTGGGCATTTGGGGGTGGGGGGTGGGGAGGCAGGGTGGAGAGGGAGGGTGCACAGCAGATGGCAGAGTGGGAGGTGGGAGCCTGGCTGACCGTGCGCCGCCGCCTGCGGCGGCTGGGGGCGGCCGCGCAGCCGCACGTCATCCCCAGGCCCTGCAGCTCAGGATCAGGCCCTGCTCATGCCTGGACTGGGGGCAGGGTGTCGGCGCCCCGGCACAGCACAGTGTGCAAGGCTGGGCCCAAAGACACAGCAAGCCCGGGCCCCGCCAGCCCCTTACCCATGTCATTTCCCGCCCCTTTCCCTCTACGGGTGCAGGACGACTGAGTGCAGGGCACACACACAGACGTAGAGTGGCAGGGGGTGGTCGCGGCGGGCAGGGGGGGTTCCTATCGAGGCTACGTGGCCGTGAACTTGGGCGACTACACCCTTCCCCCCCACACCACTCCTTTCCACTGACCGTGGGTGGACATGAGGAGATCGTCGTCCGGCACCATGAAGACGGAGTACCTGCCCTTGATGTCCTGCCAGAGCTGCGACACGGCGAGGAGGTGCAGGAGGTGCCACTTGGCGTCCTTGGCGCGGAACACCGCCACACACTCGGGGCACTCGAACTTGTCGTCGGACCCAAAGTACATCGCCAGGATGTCGAAGCAGCGGTGCTCGCCATCGTCCAGCCACCTGCAGCGGGTGGGGGAGGGTTTTGAGGGGTGGGGGGCGGAGCCAGGTGCGTCTCACCCTCACCGGGGGCCCAAAGCGCCAGGGAGTTGAACCAGCGCCTCAACAGACCCCAGCCCTGCCGCGCCTCTGGCCGCGATGAGTAGCCCGAGTGTGTGGCGGGCAGCATCAATACCCCGCCCCGCCTCACATGTTGCGATGCTGGGAGGCATCCCCCATGGGCACTATCATGAGAAACCCTGGCATCGACTGTACGGGGGTGGGGGCCGGGGCTTCGACCTCCCCTTCCAACAGCTGCCTCGAAGCCACATGTACAACGGTAAGTGCCAGAAACAGGAGCGGGCCGAGGCGGGGCATGTCCGCCAGGGTAGGATAAGGGGGGGGGGGGCGGAGAGGGCGGTAGTGGCTGTCCTTCCAACCAACGCGTGAGAAGGGTGGTCGACCCCCGCGGGGTTACCAGGTGCTCAATCTGCCAATCTCGGGCTGAAGCTCCTATCGTACGCGGTCCACCAGGCGCGCACCAGCCCAACAGCCGGCCTATTTGAACCAGCCACGCGGAGGGTGGGCGACAGAGGCACCCTCTCACACTTCGTACACCTGAGGCCGTGGAGCTATATATTGATAGTGGCTCCGTACAAGGTGTTAAAGAGTGCCACGGCCACCGGTAACAAAAAATTTCAAACCCCAAGAAGATGCCCCACACGCGTCGTCGTTTCCTGCGGCTCGGTGATGAAACACCTCCTGAGGGGCTCCAATGTAAGGGATCCCGTGCCTCTCGCCCCGTTCGATCGGCTCCTCCCAGGACTTCAGGCGGTATTTGGCATGCAAGTCCTGATCAAGCGTCATGTGGGCGGCACACTCAGGAGGAAGGCATGCGGTGCAATACTGGAGCCTCGGAAACTGCCCCGGCAGCTGAAGCACCACCAACAGCCCTTGGCATCACATCACCCCCCTCCCCTCTCTATGGGGTGTCTGGCTCCTACCGCACATCAGAACAGAGGATGGGAGTATTCTAGTGTGATTACAGGGTCATTGCCCAATGTCGTTCCTACTTCTACAGATGTATTTGTTCTTTCCCCATGCCCTCCTGCTCTCCAAGCCCCGTCCCCCGTCCGACCCATGGCTCCCGCAGGCCCCATTTCCCTCATACGTGCCCCGCCTCCGGTTCCCTGGGGCCCTGCCGACCGCGCACTCGCCGTCGGCGCCGCAGCAGCAGGGCCAGCACCGCAAGGAGCGCAGCGGGACCCAGCGCCCATGGTCGCGGGTCCCAGCAGGTCGCAGGGACATCCTCCATCTCCTCCGCCGTCTTAAACAGGTCGCCCAGCATTATCTCCTCCTCCGCGTCGGACAGGGTCCAGTTGAGCTTGTAGATGGGGCCGCCTTCTTCCCTCATGAAGCCCCATAGCATCCGCTGGGGGAGTACGGGCATGCCTGGAGGGGCGCATGGGCAGGGAATGAGTGGAGATTGCTTTGGGCAGGGAGGTCTTCTGGAGGCAGCCGCTGCAGGTCCCAGTCTGGGGGTGGGGGGTGGCTCGCCTGCACCCGCTGGCACCCAGGGCGGCACTGCCTACCTCTGGCGGCCATTGTTTCTGGGGTCAGACCGAACTTCTTCAGCGCGTACAGGTGCTCCTCCCACTCAGTCCTGTCGTTTGCGTGAAGAGTTTCTCATTTTGAAGCGGAAGAGAGGCACGGCAGTGCGACAGTGTGCCCTTCCAGTGCACCCCAACCAAGATGGGAGGGCTTGCTCTGGAGGATGCTGGGCCTGCAGTGCCCTGCCGCCTTGGGGTAGACTCGCCCCGTCCCCCTCCCCCTGACCATCACCTGGCCATGGGATTCTGGAAGCCATAGGTGGACACCTTGTCCAGCTGCGCAGCCGGGTGGAAAGCGCAGACGCTGTCGATGATCCCCACGGTGTCCTTGGGGTAGCCAAGCAGGAAGGGCCAGACGATGTCCAGGCCTGTGGTTTGGCGGGGGATAAGGGGGAAAAGGCTGTACGGCATGGCGAGGCCTGAATCACCAGGCAGTACGATCTGCCGCTGCAGGCTGGACCCAGGACAGTACGAGCCTCTCAGTTTGAAGCCACGTGCGTGCCAGGCCAGCACCGCCCGCGGTCCCGCTCTGAGCTCCCCATCCTGGCCGTGCGCCCGCCGCATGTCCCAGCCTCGGCCCCCCCCGCACTGCGACTCACCCCAGCCGCAGTACGCCTCATCCAGCGTGGGACCGATGACTCGGTGCAGGACGTCCATGCGCACCATGGGCACCATGATCTCCACAAACGCGGTGTACCTGGGGCATGGGGTTGAGAGGAGGTCGGCGTCGTGCTTTCCGTCTGGCAAGCTGTGCGCAGATGAGGCCCGACCAGGGCTCAGCACTGGTCGCAGCCCCCGCAGGTGCTTTGTCTGTTGAGCAGTGCCAGCTTGCAGGAGGTCCTGTCCCGCCAGACATGCCCTGGAGGGGGCGCTCCCCTCTTTGCCCCACTGCTGAGGAACCTCCCCCCAGTCCACCTGCGCTCCCCCGACCCTCCCCCAAAAGCATTGTGCCCAGCCGCACCGCATGAACAGCGACTTTCTCTGATTGACCACGGGCTGCAGCGTGCTGGACTGGGGGTGGTCGCACACAGAGGGCTGGGCCAGGACCAGCCCCCGCGCCCTGAAGATCCGGAAGGCCTCGCTCAGGACGTGGGTAGACATGATGACGTCGTCGTCCGCCAGCATGACCACGCCGTAGCGCGGGTGGAGGGCGTGCCACTCCTGGCTGCGCAGCACCTGGCGGATGAGCTGCCACTTGGGGCCCTGGCCGCGGTAGACCGCCACACAAGCCGTGCAGGAGAAATTTGCGTCGGAGCCGTAGTAGATGGCCAGGATGTCAAAGGTGCGGGAGGAGGAAGCATCCAGCCAGCTGTGGTTGTTTAGGGTGGGAATTGGGCGAGGTTGGGGCAGGGAAGGCACGCGGCCGCCCCGCCGTGGAGGCCTGCCCAGCAGCAACCCACACCTCCGGCCACAGCCGCCCGGGCGCGCCTGGGCGACCGGTCCCACCTAAACTCGTGCACGGAGTTGTCCCCGATGGGAGCCAGAACCAGATTGGATCCTTCAGACCCTGGGGCCTGTCGTTCCAGTGGCTGAAGCTGGGCGTGCGCATGGCTCGCTCAGGTTCGGAGTCCTGGGCCCGGGCCGGCACGGTGGCAGCGAGGAGGAGCAGGAGCAGGGCGGTCTGCCACGACTTGAGCCGCGCCATCCTCTATGAGAGCCTATAAACGCATTACAAGATGATGTATGCTTGGGTACCAAGCCTGTCTGGCCTGATCGCTGAACAGGGCAGGGAGCACTGCCCCCCACTGCGCGCCTTGTGCGTCGAGGAGCTCGTCCGGAGGATGGCGGGAGATGCAAAACGACGGGGCCATGCCTAGGTGATTTGGTTCGCAATTTGATCAGTTGCCGAAGTGAGATCGGGGTCCCCAAGTCCCGGAGTCTCGTGATAAATGGCAAAGGAGGAAGTAAATGGCCCGGACCGGCTCGGAGCTGTGGGGATCTTCCTCGTTCTTTTTCCCATGTGGATCTGAGGGCTTGGGGTGGGTGCAGATCTGATCCGACTCGGGTCCACCCGCGCCATGCCACCCGGCCCCATTGTGATAACAAGCCATGAAGCCGGCCCACTCATGTGCCTCTACATAAACGTTGATCTCGCACTCCCCTCAAGGTGAATGCAAGCCTCCTGATTGGGGAAATGTGGCCCTTGCATTCAACAGCCTGCCTGCAGGGACGCTGGGCCCGACTCTTCCCCCTGGCCTGCAGCCCGCCCCGGGGAGCAGTTCATTTCCAGTTCTGCACGGGGTGGGCGTCGGCCCCCTCATCCATGCCTGGGCCCAGAACTTCGCTCCCCAGCTGCTTGTCGTGCTTCTGGCGGCGCCGCGCGTCGTGCGCCGCCCAGCCCTCCGTATTGCGCAGCTCCTCCACGGTGATGGGGTTGTCGTGCAGGCTCAGCGTGCGCAGCGCGCCACAGTCCCGGAGCACGGCGGGCGGGACGGCCTGTATTCTGAGGGGCAAGGGGGGGAAAGAAAAGGCCCCATGGGCGTGGGTCACTGCGCCCAGCATGGCATCGGATGCAGCGAGCAGTGCCTCGGTTGTGGCCCACTCATCGCCGGCAGGTGTGAACACCCAGCAGCGCCGCTGATGCTGGTAATGGATACCACAGCTCATCACACCGACATTGCAGTTCCCCCGGCGAGCATCCACCTGTTGCAATCCAGGTTCAGGGTCTTGAGGAGCTGCAGCGCAGAGACCTGGGCGGGAATCACCGCCAGCCTGTTGTTTCCCGCCAGCAGGGTTTCCAGGGACGCGCAGGCCCCCACCTCTCCCGGCAGGCAGCGCAGCTGGTTGTGCGAGACATCCAGCAGGGTCAGCGTGGTCCAGCCCGCCATGGCTGCTCCGGGCAGGGACTCTTCATGGTGGCAAGGTGAACGAGGAGCTTCGTTGAGGAGGGGTCGCCCGGCGTAGGCTGCTAGCACCCCCTGGGTTCCATCCCCCTCCACCGCGCCCCACATCAGCCCCCTCGCGCCTCACCAAGCAGGTTGCAGGCTACGTCCAACTCCCGCAGTGCGAGCAGGTCGCCGACGGCGCACGGCAGCGCGCGCAGCGCGTTGCCTCGCAGCGACAGCTTGGCGAGGGCCCGCAGCGCGCCCAGCGCGCGCCAGTCGAGGGCGGCGCTCGGCAGCCCGCACCCTGTCAGGCTCAGCCGCTGCAGGGCGCAGAAGGGCGCCAGCGGGGCGGAGAAGGGGTTGGCCAGCGGGGACAGCGCACCGTGACAGCTCAGCACCCGCAGGCCGGGGGCGGCCTCCAGCAATGCGGGCGGCCACCCATCCAGGGTCGGGGCCCCCGGCCCGGCGCCCAGGCTGGCGATGCCGGTGGCCTTCCAGACCCTGATCTGGGCCTGGGTGACGGGAAAGCCCGAAACCATACCAGCACTAGCCGGGCGAGGGTCTAGGCCAGGGCTTGCGGCAACATTCTGTGACGGGGTTGGGTGGGGGGGTAGGAGACTGCATGGGGTTTATGAATGCCGTGCTGACAGGTGGCTGCACCGCACAGCCCCATTTCCATCCAGTCCGATCCTTATGGTGCCCTGGGACTGAAACTATACAAACAAGAATCTCCCGTCATATCCCGCAGGCTGCGCACCGCGCGTTGAGAGGGCCGCTCAGCGGGTCTGCCCACGGCCCTCCTGGGTCCCGGCCCGGTCGCGGCCAAGAGCATAAGCTTCGTGCCCGCAACCAGACCCATGGAGCTGAGCCTTGTATCGTCTCTACCGGCCCCAGGTTCGGCCAGGACCTTGCCTCGGCACAGCAGCTTTTGCTGTCGCGCCAGCACACCCGTGGCAGCCTCGACACCAGCCCGCAGGTCGCCGAGCGTTCCCTCTGCTGGCAACGAAACGATGTGTGCACTAGATCCGAATCTTACGCTTACTTCCATGGTCGAAGGTGTGATCAGGCACTGTTGATACACGAAGCAGGGCGTCGGAGTGGTCCCCTCGGCTTCCTCCGGTGGTCGCCTGCCACCGACTCCTCTCCCTCGAGGGCTCACATACCGGGGTGAGGTGATAGTGAATCGGACAATTCTTACTTATTCCGAGCTGATGAATGCACATCAGGGATACACGCGCCTGGCTGCAAGTGGGCGACGACCCCAACATCCAATCACGCCCCCGCTCGCACGGACGGAGCCCTGAGTGCTCCCACCGACTCGTGAACAAGAGAGGATGGACGACCAACAATGAATTGTGGGCGTTCTTGTACAGGTTGAGCAACGGGAATATGCTCACAGCTTGATTCAGGTTCAGGAATGCAGGGAGCACGATCAATGTATCAAGTTGCAAAGGGAGGCGCCGGACCAGGCCACCAAGGGACCCACGGCGCAAGGAGCGCCGCACACCCTCGAGCGCCGCACACCCACGAGTGCCGCGGCGGGAAAGGTGGCGGGAGTGTTCAGGGCTTGACCCCCTCGGCGCTCATGAAAGGCTGCAGGATGCGGGGGTTTTGCGGCCTGTGCCGCGTCAGCCGGCGCCGCAGCATGGCCGACCCTGCTAGGAGGCCGGTGAGAAGAAAGGCGGTGGCCCTCCAGTCGGACCCCGGGCCCGCACTGACCCTGGCTAGTGGGCTCAACTGCGGCGAGGACGGCTCCTCCTCAACTTGCTGCTGGAGGGTCACGGCGGGCCTTCGGGCCACTTCCAGGGTAACAAACTCCCACGTGATGTCCTGCGGGTAGGTGTCGACGCCTGCGGGGGTCAGGTGGGGAGTGGGAGCTTCATGGGGCACAAGGCGGTCTTCATCAGCTGACACAGGGGCTGACAGGATTTTGAGGAGGGTCTGCTTGCCTCGCCACCGCGTCGCTCAAGACGCTCCAGCAGCATGGGCACCCTGGGGACCCACCGTAGGACTCCACGGCGTCGTCCGTCAGGCCGTATTTCATTATCATGTACTTGAACTCGCCGCGCGCATCACTGAGGGGGGGGGGGAAGGGGCACCGCAGAGGGGTCAAAACAGGGGAGATGTGAGGGTATGATGCCTGTGATGCTGAACTAGTGCTGACGGAGGGTGGACTGCGCCACTGCCGCAAACTTGGGAGCAGTGCGAGGTGGGCAGGTCCCCCATGACTTCACTGCTGGCCTGCGCCACACCCCGCCTCCCGTCACCCACCCCGCTTTGGGGTGGGTGAAGCCGTAGGGGCAGACCTTCCCCGCCTGGCTCTTGGGGTGGATGGCGCAGATGGCATCAATCAGGCCGATGCCCCGCCGGGGGTACTTGAGCAGGAAGGGCCACACAAAGTCCAGGCCTGGTGCAAAGGAGGGGGAGGACGCGACCTGGGAAAGAAAGCCTGGCGAGGGCACAGCGCAGCACGGGGCGGCTGGTAGCCCTTTACCCCCAGCAGTGCCATTCGAAATGTGTGGTAACCCGCTCCCCCACCCACCCCACCCCACTCCGCCAGCGCCGCGCTCACCCCAGCCAGTGTAGGCGTCCTCGAATGTGGGCCCGACGACGCTGTTCAGGACATCCATGGTCATGATGGGCATCATGATCTCCACAAAGGGCGTGTACCTGTGGTTGTCGGGCAAGGGGCTTGTGTTTGCATCTGTGTGAGAGCGACCCCACAGGATGGTCCTGATCCGGCACGCTGGCGATCAGCCGCACCGCAGACCACCAGCCGCACCGCAGACAATCAGCCACGCTGATCCTCCTCCCTCCATCCTGCCACCCCCCCCCCCTCTTCCAATATTCACCCTTTCCCACTTGGGGGTCAGGGTACCTGATGAAGTTGGACTGGTTCTGCAGCACCACGCCATGGCTGACGCCGACCTGGGGGTGCCGGCACAGCGTGGGCTGCGCCAGGGTCATGTTGAACGTGCCGAAGATGCGGAAGGCCTCGTTCAGGGTATGCGTGGACATGATGATGTCGTCGTCCGCCAGCATGACGGCGTCGTAGCGCGGGTGGATGGCCTGCCACTGCTGGCTGCGGAGGACCTGGTGCAGGAGCTGGAACTTGGGTCCCTGGCCGTGGTAGGCGCCGATGCAGGCGGGGCATGGGGTGGGCGGCTGGGGGGTGTAGTAGATGGGCAGGATGTCAAAGGTCCTGGAGTCGGCATCGTCCAGCCAGCTGGGAGGGGGTGGTGGGGGCAGTTGGGGTTGGGGGCCGGCAAGGTTGCCGGCTGTCCACGTGCGTCGAAGCCCCCGGATTCGAACACGCACCTGATGAAGTGCACCGAGTTGGCGCCGATGGGGGCGAGGATCAGGTTCCGTCCCGAGGAATTGGCAAAGGTCAGACTTCCTGTAGTAAAGGTGACGGGGACCATGCGCCTGGGGGCATCCTTGCCGGCCATCGCACAGGCCAGCGCGGCCAGGGCGAGGAGCCTCATGACCATCCGGCCCCCGGGGCCGAGCCGCCCTATACCCATTCCTCTCAAGCTTGACATGCCATGCAGTGCCGCCTTGTGAGGTGGTGTCGCGGATCAGTCTGGGGCATGTTTGGGCCCGGCACGGGCAGTGCAGTCTGCTTGCATCGAGGTGCCCCGAACTCCATCGCACCTAGTGCACGTACCCTTCCAAATCCCAACCTAAATCATTGAACAAAACTACTCGAGTATTTGCTTACTCGAACAAACCGCCAGCACTACCCTCGAGATGATACAGGGGGCAGCGGCCTGTACTTCTCCTGGCTCTTGTATCCTCAGTATCGCTGCTCTCTTACAGCTGAACAGAAGCGCCCGTCGTACCTCCCTGCAGTCACACCCGCTCCTCACTTCAGCATCACCAGCGTCAGTTCACCTTGACACACCAAGTCCGTGCCCACATATGCCTTGGCATCCACCTTGCAGATGCCATGCCTCTTGTTGAACTTGACCACGTCCACCCTCATCATCTGGAAGGTTGGGAAGGATTGTCCCGTGATGCGGCAAGTGGTGGTTGGACATGACAAGTGATCGAACCATCCCTTGTCATGATGCCAATGGGGTTCTGGTGGCTTACGCCTGGCGACCAAGCCCTCCATGATGGGAGCACACCAAGGGTGGCAGTCCTGACTCCAAAATTAAGGCAGGCCCCCATCTCAGACCCATGTGGGCCCCGACCCCAACTCACCAGGACATCGCCGGGCACCACTGGCTTCTTCCAGCGGACCCCGTCCACGCCGCCGAAGAAGAAGTTGTTCTGCTGGCCCTTGTCGGCGGGGTCAATCATGGCGATGCCCCCCAGCTGGGCCAGGGCCTCCACCTGCAGCACACCTGCAGAGCAGGATGGAGGGAGGAGGGGTTGTTTCTTGCAACAGGGCTCACTGCTAGGCACTCGCCTTCTCAACGCTCGATGGCCTTCTCCATGAGGTCAGGCTCCCATCCCCTCTGCCTCGGCCTTCCCAAGCTCACACCCATCCCGTGCCTGGCATGATGGCGCGGTTTGGGAAGTGGCCGGGGAAAAAGTTGTCGTTGATGGTGATGCACTTGTAGCCGACAGCATACTTGCCGCTCTCCCATTCCAGCACCCGGTCCACCAGGAGGAAGGGGAACCTGTGGGACAAGGAGGGTCCGGCGGTGCCTCCCAGCATGCCTGTGCTGGCCATACGAAATACAACGCTAGCAGATCATGCATGCAGACCCTTCCAGTGCACATGCCTGTGCGGCAGGATCTCCATGATCTCCTGGATGTCCTTGAGCGGCTTGTGGTTGGGCCCGGACTTTTCTATCGGCAGGGCGGCCGGGGGCGCGCTGCTGGTCGCGGCATCGGCCCAAGCGATCAGGCGGCTCCTACTGGGACGGGAGCATGCACACCGACCCCTGAATGGAGTGCTGGCGCGTCGGGAGAGCGGTCCCGGGAGGGCGGTCTGGGAAGTACACGCAGTCAGTGCCGACATTGTGCCGAGCCAGTGCCAATGTGCAATGGGTGAGGGTGCCGATCTATTGAATATGAGTGGGCATGTCGGGTTTCGCGCTTCTCACGGCCAGGAAACTCCTCGCATCGGGTCTGCCAGTTTCATGGGCTGATCGCGCCCGGGCGCTGTCCAGGGGGTGTCAAGAATCGGAGTCAAAGGCACGGGCTTCCAGTAATGCAAGTTCGGCGGGCATGGGGACAAGCGCCCAGCCCCAAGACTCCAACCACACAAAAGGCATGCAGCAGGGCCCGATACAAGTAATGTGGGAGAATGCAGCATTGCGGACAGTGCTCCTATCAGACTGCTGTCTTGGACGCCTTGTATGCACTGATGTTCCCCCGCGTGCTCCGCGAGGCGTCTGCCACCTTCAGGGCGCTCTCCTGGTCTGCGCGGGGCGGGCAGGTGTGGAGGAAAGGCTTTGAGCGGAGAGCCCCTCGCCAAGGAGCGCGGCGTCACGCCAGAGTGTGAGCCCTGACGACGCGGCGCTGCCCTCACCCATCAAGAGCCTAAGAGTCGTCCTCCCCCCGCTCCCCAGCCCCCCCTCATAGCTCACTCCGCGTCATCATGCCGCAGAACTCCGCGTAGTCAATTGTCCCGCTCCCGTCAACGTCCACCTCCTTCAGGATGGCGTCCACCTCCTTCTCCGTGGCGCTCAGGAGCCCTCCCTGCGGGGGTGTGGGAGTATCGGCGGGTCGGCAGCAGGCAGTGCCACGACGAAGGTTCTTGGGGTGCAGAGCACCGTCGACATTGGATCGACAGTGTTCCGCTTTCAAGGCGCGCCATACACTTTCCCATCCCCTCCTGGCACCTCTGGCTCCATGCCCTACCCTTCACATCCCTCCTGAGCATGCATCCACACACAGGATCACACGCCTCCTCCGCGAACCTTGCTGAGCGCGGCGATGAGCTCCTCCCGCGAGATGGTCCCCGACCCGTCGGCGTCAAAGTGGTGGAAGGCGCGCAGCATGTTTTCTTCCTTTTCCAGCTGGTGCCGGCTCATGGTGGCCGCCAAGAACTGGCGGGGTCGGCAGGGGGAACCACGGCGTGAGGATGCGAACACTCGCGCCGAGTTGCTTCCCTGGACTGGGCACGCTGCCTGTTGCACTCCATCCGCCGCCCTGTCCCCACCCACTCACCCACTCTCCTGTAATCGTGCCATCCTCGCTCCTCCAACCCTCTCCCACAACAACAAAATGCAACCCCACCCAATCACTCACCTCCTCGTACTCGATGGTCCCGCTGGCGTCCACGTCTATCAGCGACATCAGCGTCTCCAGGTCGGCGGCGCGCAGGACGGCGCCCTTCATCTTCAGCGCCTCTCGCAGCTCCTCGGCGGTGATGGTCCCGCTCCTGTCGCGGTCGATGGCCTCGAAGAGGGCTTTGAGCCCTGCGATCTCCTCGGCCGGCATGCCCGTCGCGATCACGCGCATGGCCTCCCGCTTCAGCTTGTTGTGCGTCGCAAACGTCCTTTAGGGCGGGAAGGAGAAGGGAATGGGGAAAGGCATGTGTGAGGGGAGGGCAGGGAGGGAGGAGGCTGAAGGTGAAGAGGCACATGTGGGGGATGAGGCAAGGGCCAGGTGGCTGCCGCTGAATCGCGACAGGGAGGAGGCGGCAGTGGCCGGCAAGTGCTGATGGGCATCTTCCTTGGGGGGTTAGAATGTAATGCATATGACACACCTCTTCCAAATTGGAATCCACAGCATGAGGGTCCGCCAAGCGTCTGTGCCCCTGCTCACCTCCTCCAACCCCCTCGTGCACAAGCAAGCAGGACACCAAGCCCCACCCCCACGCGGCCTCCCGGGAACTCACCCCAGCCGGGTGATGATGACATCATCCAGCCGCTTGTCGGAGGCCACGCCGTTTTCCCGCAGCCAGGGGTGCCGCAGCAGCTCGTTGGCACGCGCCCGGGTCTTTGGGTTCTGTGAGATGGAAAGGGGTAGCAATTCGTGCAGAGAGTCGCAGGACCCGGGCCTTGCATGGAAGAACAGCAGGGGCCCAGCCGGGACGCATGGCCCCATGCACAAACACCCCGCGCAAGACAGGGGGTCCACCCCCATGCCCCCTGCCGCCTCGTACACCCAGCCGTTTCCGCTTTCCAAAAAACAAAAAGGGACGCACGGGGTCGAGCATCCTGGCCACGCAGTCCTTGGCCTCGGGCGAGATGCCGGGCCAGGGCTCCGTGTCAAAGTCGATGGTGCCCTTGAGCACGCACCGGAAGATCTCCTTCTCGGTGTCGCCGTAGAAGGGCGGCATGCCGGAGAGGAGGATGTACAGGATGACGCCGCAGGACCAGATGTCGGCCTCGGGGCCGTAGTTGTGGTGCAGCACCTGGGGGGGGGGTCGCAGACGGAGGTGTGCTGGGGTGCATGCGTGTGCGCCCAGGTGTGTGTGGCTGTAGGAGGGGAGGGGGTGTCCCTTGAACCCCCAGTTACCCCTCCGAGAAGCCTTCGTCACACTACCTCTGGCGCGATGTAGTAGGCCGACCCCACCACGTCGGTGAAGCGCTCCCCGGCCTTGAAGAAAACGGAGAGGCCAAAGTCGGTGCACTTGATGGCCGCGTCCTCTGCCGGGGAAGCCAGCAGAAAGTTCTCGGGCTTCAGGTCCCTGCGGTGGGTCCGGACAGGGGTGGGGGCGTACATGCAGCGCCCCTATGCCCCGGGGTCGTGGGGGCGACGCCATGGCTACGAGGACCCGCAAGCCTTCAGGCATGGCACGGTGTGTGTGGGGTGTGTTGTGGCACCTATCAGGCTCCTGTTCTCTCAGCGCCATTGGCACCTCACCGATGCATGACGTTCAGGGAGTGGCAGTAGGCCACCACGACGATGATGGTGCGCAGGAGGGCGGCGGCGTCAGCCTCACTGCAAAATGTTGGGAGGATTGGAAGAGGGCGCTGGTGAGGGGAGGTGCATAGGGCTTGGGCTCAGCATGTCCTCGAACGGCTTCGGGAGACCAGAGGGGGAGGGAGACCAGGCTCCCCCCCCGCCGTCCCTCCCCCCCCCCCTCTCCAACCCACCTGTAGTAGCCCTTGGCCGTGATGCGATCGAAGAGTTCCCCCCCGGAGCAGACGTCCATGAGGATATGGATGTGCTCCCGGTCCTCGTACACAGCGGCGAGGAAGGTGATGTTGGGGTGTCCCTTCAGGTGGTGCATGATCTGCACCTCCCGTTGCACATCGGCCACGTCCTCCGCGCTGGTAAGCTTGCGCTTGGCGATGGACTTGCAGGCCAGGGACTGGCCGGTGGCGCGGTGGCGCGCCAGGCGCGTGGTCCCGAACTGGCCCCGGCCCAGCACCTTGCCCAGCTCGTAGTCTGCCTCCAGGTTCTTTGTTTGGGGAGGGGAAAAAAAGGGGGGCCAGGAATGGGTGAGTGCGGGGCCTTGGTGGCATGCAAGACGGGAGAAGGCGCTGTGGGAAGGGCTTGGCCAGACCTGCCGCACCTGGTAGCCCTTGCCCAGCAGGCTGCCGGCAATCGAGGCAGGGGAGGGTTCCGGTTGGGAGGCGACATTCGCGGGGGCACGCGCCTCCTTCCTGGCGCCCGCGACCTGCAGTGTCGCACAACATGGGTTCAGTCCCGCACATTGCAGAGTCGCGGGAGGGCTTAGACCCTGCCGCACAGCCCAGGTCGCACCTCAGGCCTAACAGCTGGCGTGCTTGCCCCGCATCCCATGATCTCGGTCAGAGACAAGCAGTATCTCTGAAGTCTGTCATATGATACTAAGATTATCGCATTGTCGCCAGTACGAGGCTGCTTTGGTCTTAAGCGACCGAACGCGCTCTCACCCTGGTATGGGCGCCAGATCGGATTACCGAGCGATAGCCGAGACCACTTGCCCAGATCGGCCAAATGGTTCTTTGCAACCGGTGTTGTTTCACGACTCGGAATCAAGGACACCGAATATTTAAACTGCGAGTATGCCATCTTGCGCATCATACGCCCTCGAATGCAATGTAAGCGACACACAGAGGCAGGTTTGCTGACCTCAAGGCGAGGCTTTCCCACACTGACAAGGCCGCGATGGATGTGATCTTATATAAGCGGACGTGCATGTATTGTTGTTTCGTCAGATTCAACTTGAAGCGACCTGGCATGGCTCACAGGAGCACTGGTGTAAGCTGATCCTGGAGGGCCGAAAAAGCATGGAGGTGCGGTCCTACCCCTTCCCCGAGCCCCTAGCTGGCCAACGTGTCCTCCTACTGGCCACCAATGGCCAGGCCGGGAGACCCGCGCTGGGAGACGGGATATCGGCTGGCTCCACCGATGCAAAGGCGGTGCGTGAGCGGGCGCAGGGTGTGGTGGATCACCAGCGGACCTGTCCGGATTTGCCACGCTTGAGACCCGAGCCCATCCAATTCGCTGCCACAGGTTGGCTGGGTGGTATTTGACGGAATCCAGAGGTTTGAATCTGCATCAGAGTTCGAGGGTGCGTACGGGGAGCACTGTGTACCTTCAGACTCTCCCTTTGCCTGGGCACCCCGTGGGCCAGCCCTATACGGATGGCGCATAAGGGAGTACGAAAGGGCTCGTGAAACTTGCCCACTTCCAAGAATGACACGGTTGTTGAGATCTGTGTACGAGATCAAACCATGATGAGCCTCGCATTGGTCCCGTCGATGCCACGGCCGAGCTCAAGATTTCATTCGTTGGCATTGACTACATGCGGCAAAAATGTACATGTCGATCACATCCAGCCTACTCCATGGCGCTGCATCACGATGCACCAATGAATGCCTCATAGATGTGCCTCATCGCTGTAAGGATGCCGTCCTTTGTACGCGGTCCTCCCGCATGAGCGGCGCGAGGGTCCTGGCATGCCAGGCCTTCCCAACCCACCCTGCCCAGGGCCCACAGCGCCCCGCCGGACATGACCACCGGATGGCGACCAGGAGAACGCTCCTCGCCACGACTCTGGGCGCGGGCCTGCTCCCGACGATCTCCATGAGGTCGCGGGCGGGAGCGCTGTACGACGAGTATGCCGGTGAGGGAGAGTGCGTCAATTGTGCATGAGAGCGCGAGGGGGTGGAGGGAGGGCAGTGCAGCGCGATTGCCGGGTCAAGCACTGTAAGGGACCACACAGATTGCACACCCCCTCTTCATTCCCACCCGCAGAGGAGTACGACGGCCTGGAATCCGGCCGGGCAGCGCAGCTCCTGGGCCTGGCAGGCCTGCGCGGCCGCCTGGCGAGCATGGCCCGAGGCGACGCGCTGGAGATCGGGGCGGGGACGGGGCTGAACCTGCCCTGGCTCTTGGCCCGGCCCCTGACCTCCTACACCGCGCTGGACCTGTCGGGCGCCATGCTGGCGGGGGCGCGGGCAAGGCTGGCGCGTGCGCCGCCACCGCCCTTCCCCGTGCGCTTCGTCGCTGGGGACGCGGCGCGCCTGCCCTTCCCCGCCCACTCCTTCGACTGCGTGCTGAGCAGCTACGCGCTCTGCGCCATGGACCGACCCGACGCCGCGCTCTCCGAGGCGCTGCGCGTGCTGCGCCCCGGGGGCCAGCTGCTGCTGCTGGAGCATGCGCGCAGCGAGCTGTGGCCCCTAAGCTGGTACCAGGACCGCACAGCGCGCGCCGTGGCGGCCCTCAGCAAGGGCTGCCGCTGGGACCGGGAGGTGGGGTCGCTGGTGCGGGCCGCGGGAGGGGAGGTCCGGGCCCTGGAGCGCCACCTGCTGGGCACCGTGGTGCTGCTGGACGCGGAGCCCCGTGCTTGACCCCAGGAAGGGAGGTTCTCTCCTTGGAGGGACAGCAAATGTGCAACGAAGAGCTGGCGCTCCCCCTTTTCCGGGTCGGTGAGATGCGTCTGAGAGGGCCGCCTGCCCTCCTTTTGGGGGGCTCACTGCTGCATGCGCACCGCTGGCAACACAAGG